TCAATGTCCATTTGATTGCGTAGGTATGCATTGGGAATTTCGTATCCAGCGGGATATCTATCCTATATGTTTGAGTTTGATTAGCGACAACTGGACATGAAGTGTACTTGCAAGCATTCCTGTCCATAGTGATCAATGGTAAATCTTGTGTTTCGCTCTTATGCCAAGCCAAGCCGGCCTCCAAAGTCGGCGCATCGAAATTCGTCGAAAAGTCGTAAGACATTTCACTGCTCTTGCGGCGACGACTCACGCGACATGCCTTATGATCCAGCGCCTCTGGGCAAGGACTAATGCGTGCCTCATGAATAGTACAAGCGTCGATATCGCCGCATGGTTTAATATCGACAACTTCTGCGGCTGTTAGAACAATCACTCCTAGTAAAACACAGATTTTTAGCAGCGACATTTTTCGTGTGCTATTCGATTCGAATTATGAGCAAAACTAAGAAAAATTTGAGAATTTTTTATTGCATATAATACGCTCCTCTGAGTAAAATATAAAAAGCCATCTGTGATACTGATTAAAAAAAGCCTGCCAGTGTGAATTTGTGCGGTCTTTTGGTCACTAAAACGCTGGAATGGCATAATCACCTTTGACTCCGCTCAATTGATAAGCTTCGGAACCATTGTAGACTTAAAGTTAATGCACGCACATTGGGCAATCAGAAGAAATTCTCTCAGAACTACATTTTTTACACTGAGAAAAAAAGCGTTAACTTATTCAATAAGACCTTAATACCCCTACGCTATGTACAAGAAAGCAAATTTGGTTTCGGATTTATGGTGTGAGAGAGTATTCGTGGCCAAGTACTGTCTTTCACTCCTCAAAGCGCGTTGCTTTACCTCTCACTCTGGCTCACAGAAAGCACCTGTGAAGCGAGTCCGCAGAAACAATGGGTTCCACGAGAACGTGATAAAGAGTCAGCTTGAGATACTGGTCGACAGAGAAACGTCGGCGCCTTGTGGAACGTTTCAAGACCGAGCATAGCTCCTGCAAAAAATAAGGACCGTTCTCTCTTCTTAGCTGTGGCTAAAAGTAGTAACCGTACTACGAATTCGCTGAAACTTAGTACATATATGCTCTATTCTGCACTTAGGAATGAAGAAATGTGAAAAATCGTAAAAGGCAACGCACTGACATGCCTACAGCTTTTGTGGGCGGAAATTGTAAATGTTATCCGATGTTGATGAAATTGAGAGATATAGTCTCTGGCTTTAACCAGAAAAGCATACATCTGAGGGAACATCTAAAAGGGTTACAAATCTTTCAAAACCAACTTCTATGCAAAATATCGCCTGATTAGATCA